TGGGGGGCCGGGGGGGGGGATGGGGGGGGGGAAGAAAAGCTTAACCTAACAGAAATAAGCAATCTCTGTGTTAAGGAAATACTGGTAGCAGATATATTATGTCATTCAATGGGAATGAACTTTTGTTCCAGTAAAAGAACTAATCATTTTGTAGATACATTATTAATCTTTTCTGTTATGTAATCTGACAAAATACAAATACTCAGTGATATTTATAAACATTGCTGCTCTGCTTGAGGTCTAAGAAATATTTCTTACACATTTAAAATTCCTCTCTCAAGAACATGTCCTGGAATTATTTAAAAGCTAACATGCTGTACACAGTTTGGGACATTACTAAACACTTTAGCCAAATGAATCCATGTGGTTCAGGGGTGGACAGATGGTTTAATCTTAGTTTGGCTGTTACAAAGAAGATTAAGTTGAAATACTTTGATACACCGTAATTGGAATTTAGCGACTAACGTACATATGTACTTCAAGAGGGCCTTGCAGGGGGAATAGTCTTAAACATTTGGTGTGGTGCTGTTGACATGAAGGGGAAGAGAGTGGACGATGTAGTAGTCATGGAAGTAGGCCAAGATGGCCACTGGCTGGCCCAAGATCAAGGACAGCCACATGATGATGTTGCCCCATTTACCATGCACAAACTTAGAGGTGATGTATGCTGTAGGCACCTGGGAGAAAAACAACATATGAACATGTTAAAATAGATAGGCTATGGTAAAAAAACAGAGATCAAAATGTGAGATATTTATACAAAGGCTACATGTCAAAGTTTTTCTGTGATGTCTTATAAAACTAAAAAGCTTGTACACGACTAAAAAAACTTGAAGTCAGTAAGAAAGATGTGCTACTCTGGTTTTGATAACCTGTTATTGGGTCCTCCATATTTAAGTAAAGAATAAGAGTGGAGCTTGGTGGCCTAATTATGACCTTAGCAAGTGTTCAAGTATGGGAAAAAGTTTTTTTCAAATACATATGTATGAAATATACATGCAACATTATGTATGGTAATAGATTAACTAGCCCATTGATGTCCTTGTGTAAAAATTCAAAAAGTTTCCCTGTTGTTTAGGCCAATACATTCAAAGACATGTTCATCTAGACATGTAACTAATTGATGTTGTGTTTCATGATAAAGTGGTTAAAAATGTCTTCCAGCCCAGAACAAAAATACAGCATTTTAGATCTTTTGTACATAGTCAGTAAAATCCAATTATAGAGGTGGAAATGATGTGTGGTTCCCATGATATGGAGATACAAAATAATACTTAATTTCTCATGTCCCATATGGACTTTGTGCTTTAAGATTGTATACCTCCACTCATTATATTACTAAAGTCCATTATTATAAAAAAAAAAACTAAGCTGGGATAGCTGGGATAATATAATATTGCCCATAAATATAATAGACATTAATTTGGTCCACTGACATCCTTTCTGACATTCTGAGTTAGAACATGGTATTTGAAGGCCTGAGTGAAGACAAAAGACAGTCAAAAATGAAGTTTCATTTCGGCTGAAAGCCTTCATCAGCAGACACAACAAACGTTTAACTGAAACTAGTTACAGACCAGGAAAGTTGAATTTGTTTACCTGCATCAGCATGCCCATGAAAGCCCAGGTTTTAAACATACGGAGAGGTACACTGATGAGATACTGTGGATAAGAAAATTAGATAATAATAATAAAAAAAGAAAACCTGAAAAGGTCGAGTAATGAAGTTTCGAGTCTGTCACTAAATATTTACAAGCAAATGTTTCTAACAACTTGTAACAAGGGGTTTGTTTCGAATAAAAATAAATGGGGAATGTTGGGAATTTAAAAAAAAAAATAAAAACACTCCAAAATATAAAGGTAGTTTGATAGATGAACATCTTGGGATAATCAAGTTACTAGAGCACAGGGAGGTGAACTCAAGATGGGGTTGCAAAAAGGAATTTTGTGGGGTTACCGGCTGAAACAATAGACTAAAATAAGTAGTGATTTTTAAATGGATTTCTTCTTTAATTATTGTCTTACAGTTTAAGTTAAAATATTTCAATCCTGAAATTAATTATCCAGCCAATTACATTGTACTGGAAAATGAAATTTTAAAAATATTTTCTTTTTCAAGAATTGATCCTATTTAAAAGCATTGTTTTGTCCAATATTTAATGGTAAGGGTCACTTTGCTTTTATGTAAATGTGAAAACATTTGAGAACTTGTGCGTACTATAGTGACTGAGATTCAGCGCAGTTTATTCAATTTTACAGGTTTCAGCTAACAATTTGTGATAATCTGTCACTTGCTGTAAGCTAAAAAAAACAAAAGCAAGAAATTTGTATTTTACAAGTGTGTAACTGAGATGGGGAAAATAGTGCAGGATCTCTTAATCTCGGGAGAGAATACCTAATACCAAGCCTTTGCGCATGGATACCATGTGGGTAATGTTAATAAAATTATAACAGTTTTATAGTAAATTGTATAGCCTTACAGAATATATAATTTTGTTAGCTGTAAAATAATTTTATTATCTAAAAAAACAAATTTTGAATTTTAAAAGCAATGTTTTTTAGCATTCAATTCACTTCCACAACATTCAAAGTTATATCATCTAAAGAACTACATCTCTACTTTCTAAATCAGTTGCATAGGTGTAATATAAATTCTCAGTGAGTAGCTGCAACCCCAAAGTAAAAAAAAAAAAAGAAGAGTTCTTCGTGCAAATCTTGGTAGCTCATACAGAATACCTACCATACCTACAGGCACACAATGTTAATAAATTTATAGATAATTTAGTCAACTCAAACTGCATCATGAGTTTTTAAAAAATCTTATCTAAGAATCAAGTCATGTTTTTGATCAAATGTTATTTTACCTCATGGAAAAATGCTGAAAGAAGGAAGACAATTGTTGAGGCTAACAGCCTAGGGCAGCCCCTGCTTAGTAACGGTTTGTAGATATGCCTGTGAGATAAAAAATGAGATATTTGATCCAGGGATAATGAAACAAAATAATTAATGGAGTAGAAACTGTTTCATTAAAGAGCTCAAGTCAATTTTAAGATGGAACAAAGAAACAAATTTATGGACAAGTAAAAATATGTTGATTATATAACTTAGTGAGTGAAGATGAATAATGTGCCACTGAATCAGTGAGACATGAGTTTTCAACCACTTTCCCTGTTCATATATTATATCTATACATGTATCTGATTATGAAGCAGCAGCAGGACAGATAAGTTTAGGGTGTCAGAAGTATGGCACACAGTCTGTAAACTTCAATGCACTGGTTATTATATATGTTTTACTTGAATGCTTTGGATGACTTATTCCTACCTGGTAGCAAATCTGTGCACAGGAATGTTCCAATGTTGCCAAAATACTGACACTGTTTCAGCATTCCTGGATCAACAATTAATGATGAGAAAGCAGGAATAGTAATAACATGGACACAAACATACCTATATTGAAATAAGTCATCTACTAATTTCTGACAAAAGCAATACAAATCTGTGCTTGCTGAACTTTTTTGTTCACAACTAAAATAAGTTCTCATAAAGTAGAACTATGACATTACAGTGACATTAAAAAGTGTTTCTTGAAGGAATGTGATAGTCTATTTGCAAAAAAAAGATTTAAAAATCACTGACCACCAATCTTTGTAAAAGACCCGGTCACCAAACCTCAGCAGCTCGGCCAACACGTTGAGTGTTGAATGAAAGAACCAGTAGAAAAAAACAAGCCAGATCAAATGATTAGGAATCTGAAAACATCATGAAACATGATAGGGAAAATTGTCCTTACACAATAAATGTGACTCTGAAAACGGCCAGATTGCTGCAAAAGTAAACCAAAAAAAGAAAATGTTGCTTAAAATATCCAGTTTTTCATAACTGTCCAAGATGAAAAAAAAGGAAAGAAACCCAGGATTTAACAAATTTAACAAAGGTGCTGAAGTGGATTTCTGAATGCAGAAAAATCAAGAAATGGAGAGGACAAAAACTTAATCCCATGTAATAAAATATCCAGCAAAAATACATAGCTGAAGTTTGATAATGATCAGTACTATTAATAAGGATTACTCACAGCCAGTTTGAGCAGACGCTCCAACATTTTAAAAGCTTCCATCTCAGCCAGGGGTTGTCTGGCATTATTGACAGCTGGAACTATCCACTGTGTACATTAAAATAAAATGATTCAAATCATAGGGCTTTATTATGCCATTCATTATGTTATGAGAAGGACACCCAGTTGATTTGCTGGTGATGTTTGGAATGAGTCAAAAGAAGATAATCACATTTCTAGCTCTAAACATAGTTTGCTTTATCATCATATCTAGAATTTTCTGTCACACACAAATAAATTGAGAAAACATTGTCTTGGTGAGAAAACATTGTCTTGGTGAGAAAACATTGTCTTGGTGAGAAAACAGAGATTTGGAGTGTCATCATATTTAAAATCATAACTTCGACAGAATGAACCTTAATATTTAGAAATACTTGCATCTCGAGTAAGTGGTTATTTTCTTGTACTAACACTAACCACCACATGGAGCCCAACAACACACAGACATACAACTAATTACCTGCTGCATTAATGCCACCATTAGCCAACAAAGAAAAACCTGAAGAACAAAAAAAAACACACAACATAAATGACATTTGATATGTTTCAATTGACTGTTTAAAATGGGAATAACTTACTGGGGAAAAAGGGGGCAGGCTTATTGATACAAATTAATAGAAGACTCAAGTTTGAAAAATGCAAAAACCCCAATGACATTACCATTTCAATGATGCGCTTGGCCAAGAATCGCTTCCTGATACGAGCAGATCTGGGGAAATTGAGCTCATAGCATAAGGTTGGGGCAAACATGAAGTAAGCCAAGTCTGAAATGATACAAGTTGGAAGAACAAAAAATATTAACAAAGGATCAAGGACACTTGTTTGCAAACACCAATTACAAAGATATCCAATGTTTTATCCCCCTAAAACTTACAATTCGGAGATAATGTGCGATCTGCTCTGACAATTTAAAACAAAATAAAAGGCCAAGGCTTAAGTTCTAACCATCAACTCTTGAACATCTTTGAATTTGATTTTAGATTCATCTAACTTTTCTTTATGAAAATGTTAAGAAATATTGAATTACGGGGCCAATGTTAAAATCAGAAAGCTTATAACTAAGTGGGTTTCTTTTCAATAAGCCTAGGGCCCCAGACCTTAACATAGACTACTCTTAAAATATAAATGTGTGCTTGCCCATGTATGTTGTTATGAAAACAAGCCAGAGGACATTTGTGCATACTTGACAATAATTCAATTACTGATAATGACTTGTTTTGAAAAATACTGAAAGCTTAGATATTTTACAGATTCAAATGCACTAAGAATAACTCTTGAATATCTTGGCTGGTTGTATAAATACGTTATAGAAATGTTGAAATGATTGAATGCCATGTCTGAATCTTGTCATGTCTCTATTTATTTAAAAAATGTTCTACAAATATTATATATTGCCTTTTTCCCCAACCCCTCTGACCGCAACATTACACATCTACCCCCTCTGCCCACAATATCACAGAACTACCCCCTCTGCCCACAAAATCATAGAACTACCCCCTCTGCCCACAACATCACACATCTACCCCCTCTGCCCACAACATCTACCCCCTCTGCCCAAAACATCACACATCTACCCCCTCTGCCCACAACATCACACATCTACCACCTCTGCCCAAAACATCATACATCTACCCCCTCTGCCCACAACATCACACAACTACCACCTCTGTCCACAACAACACACAACTACCATCTCTGCCCACAACAACACAGATATACCCCCTCTGCCCACAACATCACAGAACTATCCCCTCTGCCCACAACATCACAGAACTACCCCCTCTGCCCACAACATCACACATCTACCCCCTCTGCCCACAACATCACAGAACTACCCCCTCTGCCCACACCATCACAGAACTACCCCCTCTGCCCACAACATCACAGAACTACCCCCTCTGCCCAAAACATCACACATCTACCCCCTCTGCCCACAACATCACACATCTACCCCCTCTGCCCACAACATCACCCCCCCCCCACACACACAAAATCCTCACACACAACATCATGACCCCACCAAAAAAAAACATTAAAAAATCCCCTATAAATCCTCTTTAGCACCCTATAACTATATTTAACCAAAAAAAAAGAATAATTAAAAAACAAAAAAAACCACCAATTATGAAAAGCAGTGTTCTTATTTTTGTATGTACATATATCTTTACCCATCAAGTTTTCAGTACTCTGTATGATGTTACACATAGCCCATTGCTTTTGAAAAATACTTCAATGAAAACTAACAAAAACACCAGCAACACTGGTGTTTGCATGACAAACAGCCAACAGACCATGAAAACCTGGCCCTAAATAATAGCTATTTCATAAACATATATATGCTCTGCTGACTGTCTATTGACAAACACTGGTAGCTATCGTCCTCTAATACAGTGACCTCTTAAGCAGAAGGCCATAATTTACAGTCCCTTCATGTTTTATTTCACAATATCTCTTTGTTAATAAATGAAGGACTACATATAGCTCTTTGTTAATGCTTCATTAGTTGAAATTAAACATTGCCATTTTGCTACTGTTTTGAAATAAAAATTAATTATAAAGCTATTTTTTTAATCACAACTTCTTTTCAGGATGTGAAAATGAAGAAATTTCTATTGAAATATCAAAATCAATAATTCAGCAAATGTAATACAAGATGGTTGGGGGAAATAAAGCTATTGTAAAAAAATTGAGGTCCACACTACTGTGTCATGAGGAGGGTCAATATCTCAGAGATTAGCTCAAGTTCAGGGCTAGGATCATCTCTGCTATCAATACAGAGCATGATTACAGGGATGGAAAGCAAAGGTTGAAATAAGCGTAACTGATTAGAGTGTGGTGTCTAGACAGAAACGATGGTAGTTGTCTCACAAAGCCAGTTGTCAGATGTTAGTGAAGGGAACAATGTGAGAGCTACTGGGTGAGAACATAGTTATTGCCTCCCCAAAGATTGCCATCCATATAAGGGCAGATAGCTAAATAAGTCGGGTCACAGTGAAAATACAATGCTAAAAATGCAATACAATACAATCCGTAAAAATAAAATCAATTTCAAAACAACTCATGTGCCGCAAGAGGGAGCCATGAAAAAAGCACCCCCAAGAGAATGAAAAGCACAGAGCATACATAGGCATGTAAATATGCTAAAATGATTTTGTTACAACTGTTAGCCCATTACCTATACTCTGCAATAACATACCGTATATACTTGCATATAAGCCTACATCGTATATAAGCCGACCCCCTAAAACTGCTTTAAAATGGCCAGTTTTTGCAAAAAGACGCATATAAGCCGACCATACAATTGTCTAATTTTACTCCATATTTTTGGTTCATAGAAATTTGTTACTGTCAAGATGTAAGATGCTTACTTTTATGTTACATACCAGATTGTTTACCTTTTGGAATGACACAAAAACATGTTCTGCTCTTTCATACCCAGTATAATTATCAGCTATGCATACATTAAATTCTTTGAAGTGACACCTCTGTATATATATATATTAGTACTCTGTACACACAACCAGATAGCGATGAAAAGGTGTGGCTGGAAAATTGCCATTAGTGTCTGTCCTTGTGTCCATTTTGTTTTATGCGCATATAAGCCGACCCTCTGATTTCAGTATTGTATTTTATAGTTCTAGATTTGGCTTATATGCGAGTATATACGGTAAATGTTTCCAAAACAGACAGTGTATGTAGAGATGTACACTACATGACACGCCATCAGTACAATCTTCACCATCAGCACATAAAATAGAACAAAATTTAAACTCAACACGTATTGGGCACACTTTTCAGGAATGTGTTCAAATGATTAACAGACAATTGGTGAACGTTTCAAGACTTCATCATGTACAAGTGAAATGCAATATGCACAAATGAAACAGCCACAATGTATTAATTTGAAGCTCACTATCTGGACTAATGTTGATTTGTTTTATGAATGCATTCAACCCCCACCTACCTTTCACATTTATATTATCAGGATAAGTCTGGATGACTTCAGAATTGCTAGGGTTGGCTGCACTGGCTGTCTGGTTCTCTATAATTTAGTGGAGAAAAAAAAGACTGACACTCCTAAATAATTAAATTAAGCTTAAAAACTAATATTGTTATAAATTATCGCCAAAGGACTCGATGAACTCATTAAGAAGTAAGGTTAAACACTCCCAGTAATCATTTTTTGTAACTTGAAATATATAAACAGTGCTTTAATTATTTGATGACATTCAATGTAACATTCACTGAGGCATTCCCTTTAAAATTCTTCCCCCACATAAACCTTATTGAACATTTTCTTTTCTGTTTTATCTCCTCATAAATCAGGGTGGAGGAGGGTTGGGGGAAGCATGTGTACAGAGAGAGAGAGAGAGAGAGAGAGAGAGAGAGAGAGAGTAGAGAGAGAGAGAGGGAGAGACAGAGAGAGACAGAGAGAGAGAGAGACAGAGAAAGAGAGACAGAGAGAGACAGAGAGAGAGAAAGAGAGAGACAGAGAGAGAGAGAGAGAGAGAGAGAGAGAGAGAGAGAGAGAGAGGGAGAGAGAGAGAGAGAGAGAGAGAGAGAGAGAGAGACAGAGAGAGAGAGAGATAAAGAGAGAGAGAGGGAGAGAGAGAGAGAGAGAGGGAGAGAGAGGGAGAGAGAAAGAGGGACAGAGAGAGACAGAGAGAGAGAGAGAGAGAGAGAGAGAGAGAGAGAGAGAGAGAGAGAGAGAGAGAGAGACAGAGAGGGAGACAGAGAGAGAGACAGAGAGCGAGAGAGAGAGACAGAGAGAGAGACAGATAAATTGACCACTGGCCCCTGGTGAATACCAACTCTGAAATTTAAGAGACTTAAGCTCTGACCTGTTAGGTTTCCAGAGGATGATCTCTTCTTAAGCTTGTTGGCACTGTTGCACTCCCGGCACCAGTAGTTGACGTGGGCATACGAGATAAGCTTCAGGAAACAGACGGTCACGCTGCCCAGGGTGAACAGGGAGAAAACTGCAGGATACAAGAACAGATAACTGTGAGTGAGCGCTTGATGAATGTTAATCCTTTTGTGCTTTCAATTATTCTGAAATCCTAAATGTAGCTTTTTATTGTGGTCTTGTCAGTTTTTTAAACATATGATACCTATACATTTTGTAGTGTTTTGTGTGTGTTGGAACAGAGTTAACAGCACATTTATGATCCCTTGTAAATTTGGCTGCTGTACTCTGAATTCAGTGGTTGAAGAGGCAGACAATGCTACCACTGCGTCAGAGGGGTGTCATTAATTCTACTGTCTAATAAGGTAATTGGCTAGTCTGGACAATAAGTTAAAAAATTTTTTTTATAAAGGTTGTTGTAAGAAATTTTGAACACTCCACCTCCATGAGTTGCCAGGAAACATTTCATTCTTATTTTTTTTCAACATTTAACGCATCACTTCCCACGTTTTAGCTGCTTTGTGTTGCACTCACCAATGACAGGGTGGAGGTAGTAAATAACACCCGCTGGAAGGAACAGCAGCACAGACAGATTGACTATGTAGATGATTGTGCCTGTACTGTTGCTGATGGCTCCCTGTGAAGATACAACAATAGTTTTCATCAAATAGGCCAAGATGGTGCTGGGTTGATAATGCTTACATAACTGTTAAGAAAATCATAATAAATCTTAAATTTAAAAAAAATAAGTACATTTAATATCTTATGGTATTTTACAAGAAACAATCAAGTGTTAAAAATCCTTAGTGTGAAGTGATAAACCCTGAGAGAGGGTAAATCTGATAGTCTTCAATCAAATTGTGGTTGTCAATGTGGTGAGAACCAATATTTCTAATTAGTTATGACGATCTGATTAGAACCAATAATTCTTATTAGTAATGACGATCTGATGAGAACCAATATTTATAACTAGTAATGATGATCTATGTGAGAAACAATATTTATAACTAGTAATGATGATCTTGTGAGAACCAATATTTATAACTAGTAATGATGATCTATGTGAGAAACAATATTTATAACTAGTAATGATGATCTATGTGAGAACCAATATTTATAACTAGTAATGATGATCTATGTGAGAAACACTATTTAATTAGTAATGACAGTTTTGGGTGCCATAAAACATTTTCTTTCTAATTATTGACAGCCATATTATTAGTTTAGTGTTCCCTTAGCTGCATTGTGATACAGATTATCTCAGCCATTTTGGAATATTTCCAAAGTCGGATCTAACAGATCTAACGGATGCCCTCTATAACCAGCCAAGAGTTGACACATCTGTTACCTCATGCATGAACTAAGAGGTCACAACAATCAATCTGCCCAAGTGTCCTCAATTGGTACTCTGCTGACCACTGATGTTTTGCTAATTTTTTTCCCCAATGATTGTTTATTAATATTCTTTGCCCTGAAACACTTGAATTAAATATGGCTTTCTAGGTGAAAGTCCCTTGGCCCCATAGCATTACATTTTAAGATATAGAGCCTATGAAATTCAGTAAACAAACACAACACCATTTTGATTTATTTTTTTTTAATTATGTAAATAATTTATTAAAAAATTTAATTATCCATTAATGAAGTTGCTATGGTTATGAAATATTTAAAGACGTTAAAGGAGAGTCAATAAATAAAGTCAAACAGTAGTGTGAAAGGGGAATTCACAGTGTACATTTTGTAAAAACACAAAACGTCACCCACTGCTTGGATTGATATTTTAGGGCAACTTTTCTTATCTCTCCCCTGCACCATTTCCTGAACACACAGCGTTTGCCTTGCTCCAGGAAAATGTTCAATGCCTTAATAATTTCTGCAGCCATATTAAAGTAAACTAAGCCAAAGTACCCTAGGTCATTTTTGGGTCAATGACCATAAGCTCATCCTGTAGTCTCATAAGATAAAGCCAAACTGTCATGGTGAATTTGCACTGAATCTGTCAGCCAGTGCACTCATGACTTATTCTTTCAACACAGTTCCCAGCATGGGTGTCAATAACATTACAAGTCAGATCCTAGACATGTTATATTTATTTTATACCAGTGGCCGCCTCAAATGGGGATATATTGGCAGCCCAGCAACCTCAGAGCTTACAACACATCACTTGTTGATCTAGCCAGATTTGTTGACAAGTTGATGGCATGAAATAGTGCTGGGCGTCTGAAGGGTCTAAAACTGAGTTAATCCTAAGCTTGTGGACTGGAGTTGAATCCCTAGCAATGCCTAGACAAGCAAAGGCAACACTAGCACCCCTGGTGGATGGGACTCGTTAACCCTGGTTGGCAAGTCATCTAGGAGGAGACAAAGCCTGAAATCAAACCCTGACATGGAGTCCTGTAGGTGGTATGACATAAGATGAACATAATGAAAATTCTGATTACTCCTGCAACATGGAAGCATACAGGGCACAGTGAGATACAAGAGACACTGCTGGTCTTCTAATGGTCTATTTTCAATCAATTGTCATCACTAAGTTCTGCCATCGTCCAAATAGCCAGGACAAGAGAGTGAGGCTGATGAATTGAGCAACTCACCCTCACTTTAAAATAAAATACAGCTCAAGTCAAGGCTGCTACTCAATTGAACCCTTGGTCTTCTTTGCATGCAAAGGATGAACAATAATATAACAGTTGGGCATTTTGTAAGAAGAGCATAGACACTTTTACTATCAGTATATTGTTCCATTTTTTTGTAAACTTAAACCAGCCAGTGACCACCACAACAACAGAAGGCCAAGCTGACTATTCCTTAATGCCATTCAGCACTTAACATTTGTAATATCCCCCATGTCTTGGTGCACAAGTTTAACAGCAGATCCACCAGACTGTTAAAAAAGGAAGCCATTTGTTCTTCTAATATTGTTATTTGGTGGCAGAAGCTGGAAAAGGAACAAATGTATAGAATCTATCTCGGTTACCAAACCACGGATTTTAATAAAAATAGATAAATGGTAAGAGCCACCAATCTTCTTCATATTTTAGAAACCAAATGTATTCGTATAATAAATCTAATTCAGTCAAGCCACGATGCAGTAGAGGAAGGGCTTAGTGTGCATGAAGCCTTCAGTGCAAAAAATGCCACACCATATGAAGAGTTCTCATTTATGCCTCCCCCTCCCCCTGTCAAAAAAAAGTAAAACGAAGTCACAAGCTCACTTTATTGGTTTGATAGAACTCCGAGATATGAGAAAGTCAGGTGGGTCAGTAAACTACAGAGTATATAGGGGAGAACAGGGTATATAGGGGGTGGGGGAGTATATGTGAGGTGGCTCAGTAAACTACAGAGTATATAGGGGAGAACAAAAATAAAAGGGGGTGGGGGAGTATATGACTATGACATATTGTGAATCCCAACTTTAATTTAAGGCATGGGGCACTAATCCCCTTGGCTTATGTCCAGGGATGTAGCTAGCACGTCTGGTCGTCCTACATCTGCATGTGTTAAGAAAAGTTACCTGGTTGATTGGGCGTGTTTTGATAACAATGCCAAAACCAGATTACGCTGTGACAGAGTCGCCGCGAGTGTTTACCTCTGCAGTGAACACCAGATACTGCACGTGACCAACACGTTGTGTGGACATGAGACCGATGACAAACAATGGAGGGGGGGGGGGCACGCGCCAACATCATGCAAGTTTCATGGCATACAGAACTTAAAACATACCTTGGTCATGACGACGTAAGGTGACTTAATGTACTTGATTTCCTAGGACGTTCCTCAAAGCGGTGAGCGGAAAAAAAAGTCACAGGAAAAAAAAGTCACGGAAAAAAATTCACAAATTTTGTTAGGAAAAAAAGTCACAGAAATGTTTTTCTTTTTTATTCTTAGTTATCATTTATATCATATATATATATATATATGTATATATATATATATATATATATATAAATGTGTGATATTAGTGTGTGGATTTGTTCGACATAGACATAGAACAAAATCCTAACAAGGAACAGGATCCTAAAAGGGAAAGAGTAAACTGGAACCCACCAGTAACGCGATTCCATCCAGTAATGGGATCAAATAGGGCAAACGGGATCCCATTATAGAAGAGGATCCCACCGGGAAAAGGGATACCGACAGGATCGGGATCAACCGAAATCGGGAACCCCCGAGGATCAGAATTAGGTTGGGATCCCACAGGGGGCGGGATCCCATTGTGATATGGTAGTCAATTTGGAGATGGGTTCCCAATGGGGTTGGGATCCCAATCGGGTCTCATTTTGAAATGGGGATCGGGATTCCAATGGGGTCCCATTTGGAAACGGGATCCCAATCGGGATTCGTGTCCTACTGGGGTACGCCTCCCAATGAGAATGGGATCCTAATTGGATCGGGATACTGAAATTGAGAACCCCCAAGGATCGGGGTACCATCGGGATCCCACCGGAATTAGGATCCAGGGGGATCTGGATACCAACGGTTATATTGGATAGTTTATTAGTTTTTTTTCCTTTGACTTTATTTCCTTTGACTTTTTTTTTCCTTTGACTTTTTTTTTCCTTTGACTTTATTTCCTTTGACTTTATTTCCTTTGACTTTATTTCCTTTGACTTTATTTCCTTTGACTTTTTTTTCCCTTTGACTTTATTTCCTTTGACTTTATTTCCTTTGACTTTATTTCCTTTGACTTTTTTTTTCCTTTGACTTTATTTCCTTTGACTTTATTTCCTTTGGCTTTATTTCCTTGGACTTTATTTCCTTTGACTTTATTTCCTTTGACTTTATTTCCTTTGACTTTATTTCCTTTGACTTTATTTCCTTTGACTTTTTTTTCCTTTGACTTTATTTCCTTTGACTTTATTTCCTGTGAACTTTGTTTCTGTGACTTTTTCCCTTTTTCCCCACAAAACAAGGCACACTCCCCCCCCCCCCCCCCCCCCCCCATTTTTTTTTTTTTTTTTTTTTTTTTTTTTCTTTTTTTTCTTTTTCTTTTTTTTCTTTGTACTTTTTTTTTTTTTCTTTTTTCCTTTTTCCCCCCAAAACAAGGCCCCCCCCCCCCCCCCCCCCAATTCCCGATTATTATGTCTCCCACCACATTTTATTATGACTTCCTTTGTGACGACGCCGCGGACATTGATTGACACATAGTGCACCACTGATGCGCCGCAAGCTCAAAGTCGAATCTTCGTAAGCAGGATATCAAGACTAATCAAGGAGCATTGTTTATAGTCAACGACAAGTCAAGTAATCTGAAGACTCTTCAGTCACTATGTCAATAAAGTGTTATGTTGATGTCGCTGATGCATTCACTCACGCATCATGTCGTATCTGTGGGGAGAATTTGTGTTCACGGTTTTTTTATTTTATTTTAACTGATGTATAATAAGTGCGCTAGTTAAGGTTAGTACCGTCTGTGGCGGGTCAAGATTGTTGCCGCCACCTTCCACTAAAAAAAAAAAAAAACCCTCCGCAGTTGGCTAAAATGCCGCCTCTCCATATCAAGAAAATAGTCCCATCAGGGTAAACCGCCTCTTTCCCATGTAACTGTAGATACACAGTAATTACATTTAAACATTCCACACCTACCTGCGGCTCCCCAAATATTTTCTAAGAAGAGGAAATTTAAATTAAGAAAAGATAAGATTCTTTTAGTCATCCAAACAAATGGAAATGTTTTTTGATTGCATTATACATTTTCAGCACATAAATAAAACATTTTTGAACACAAGACATGTATAATAAATTATTTCAAACAGCCAATCCAGTGAGTTCTCTTAGCCAAATCGGGGACTTGTTAGTTCCCATTAAGATGTGTGACTTCAGAGGGAGCACGCCGGTAAATTCGTACAGATTGGGGAACAAAAGAATTTTTATATCTTTCAGTCCTCGCCCTGATGGAAAGAATTCGTCCCGAACGGCCCGATCCTAAGTATCTGTGATGAAGAGGGTGGGATGTATCCTCCAAAATGTGTTTAGTTTAAAAAAAAAATATTTCTTCAAATAGTTCTTCAGGTGAAGGATGTTGAGTTTGTATTATGCTCTCAACTTTCTTGATTAGTCGGTTTATGCGGTGTTTAATAGCAGACATTGAATTCCCACACCAGCAGGTAATACTGAAATTAAGCAGGCTTCCAATTGTTGAACTGGAGAATAAGTTAACGACTTGCTTGTTTACGCCGAAATGGTACAGTTTTTTGAGGTAGACCAGTCTTTGGTTGAATTTCTTATACAGCATTTGGCCGTGCTCATGCCATGTTAGCTTATTATTAATGGTGACACCTAAGTACTTGTATGCCTCCACTTTCTCTACAATTTGATTTTTATGTTTAGATCTGTAATCTGGTGTTTCCCCCTCCTGAAATCAACAACCATTTCCTTTGATTTTGAGATATTCAGCTGGAATTTTTTTTTATCGCACTAGCTCGTAACTTAGTTGCGGTATAGGCCTTCTCCTTCAGATATTAAGCAAACAATGGCGGCATCATCAGCAAATTTTAAGAATGGAACGGTGTCACTTGATCTTTGAATATCATTGGTATATATTGTATACAGTACAGGAGAGAGAACGCAGCCTTGTGGTGCCCCGGTGCTTATTTCTCTGGTTAGAGATAATTGGTTATTTACTTTGAAATATTGCGGTCCAAGCCTGAATATTTAAATTGACCCCTAACGAGGAAAGTTTCTTTATCATAAGGTGTGGTTGGATAGTGTTAAATGCTGATGAGAAGTCTAAGAAAAGCAGCCCCTAAAAACAAAGCTTTTCTTATTAATCATTTATATAATGTAATATCGAGTAATTGTGGGTGGGTGTAGGCCTGAAAATGTAACAAAACATGCATCAAGTAATGCCCTATATAAGAATTCCAAATAGTGCGCCCCCCCCCCCCCCCCGTTACCACCACCCCTTTTTTTCAGGGGGGGGGGGGGGGGAGAAAAAATTATGCCCCAAACGCAGTTGAAATATTAAAAAAAAAAAAAAAAAGAATCTCATTTAGCGCAGTTATAGGGAATTTTATTTCATGAAATAAGTGTCATCATATTTCCTTCCTATATGGGGTTGGGGATGAAGATGTGAAAGAATGTGATGTCATCGGCAACGAGTCTACGTGCAAAGTTTCAGTTCAATAGGTTAATAGGATGACGGGAAGTGGGTCAATAAGCCTCCCGAAGTTTTTTTTCCAGCCAGCCACGAAGTTAATATCAAGGATTTAAAAAGGTTGCCGGCTCCTTCATTAAGTTCTCTGGTGGGAGGTCGGCTTACATTCACTGAGAGTTAAATACTCTAAATAGTAGGATTTCTTTTTGGAACAATAGAATCAGACATCATGTTGAAATGATTTACTCATACGCAATATAAAAACAAGCGACTTTTAAAAAAATGTCATAATTAAATAATGGAAATAAGGGAAAGATGATGTCGTTGTCTGAAACACCCGAAGAAGAAATGTCCAACAAAAGTCAAGTTAACAGGGAGATGTAGGTGTCAGTGACTAAAACCTGTATTATATAACAACCAGTGGAGCCACAATCCCCCCCCCCCCCCCCGCACAAACCACACACACAACACACATACAAGCGCATCTGTACATTACGTTTGAAGCGACAAATAGGTAAGGGAGTTTATACAGTTTCCTCCCCTGTTTCTGTACATTGTGAAACAGTCTCTCCCTAATGTTCTGCGTTGTGCAGAGCGGACACGCATTAATTGTTATGGAGCAGTATCCAACAGGTGAGTGAAGCGCCGCTCATGGAGATTGGAAACAATACTCTCTAATTAAGGGAGTTCTAGCTAACTCCCTAACTTAGTTGCAAACTTGGTTTCACGTGCCAGCATTAGTGCTGGCTACAATCCCCAAGCCGTCCAACCAGGGTTGGGAAGAGAAAAGGGTGAGGGGGGGGGGTGAGGGTTAAGCCAAGATCGTAAAAAAAAATTAATAAATAAATAAATAAAACCTTAGACTTCAACCCCACATAAGGTAAGGGGGTCCTTATCCCAATGATTTAAGCTAAGGTGGTCCTTATCGCAATGATGCCTGACCTTAGGGAGGGGTCAGATAGGAAGGGTCACACCGACATGTGTGAAGCTAGGGGCCAGTAACGTGCCTTGAGGTTTCTCCCCCTAACGCCATCCTGTTTATGGCCACAATGGCTCCAAAAAAAACAACCACCCAAAACAATGATATACAAACTTTTATTTCAATTCCAATCCACTGTTAAGATCACACAAAGACAAAGTTACTTTTTCGCCACCACCAGTTCATCCACTAAAGCAGCAGTTCTCAACCTGCGGGTCGCGACCCCTTAGGGGGTCGCACGGCCCTTTCCCAGGTGTCGCCTGAGACCATCTGAAAACACATATACTCTACAATTATAAAGTATCAAACAAAATAATTTTGTGGTTGGGGGTCGCCACAACATGAGGAACTGTATTAAAGGGGTCGCGGCATTAGAAAGTTTGAGAACCACTGCACTAAAGGGAGAAATGTATAGTCTTGTGCAACTCAACATTTCCATTTACAATTTAACACGCTTCATAATTTGTAAGGATAATGGATTGATACGGTACTCCAAATTTTTCTATCTAGGTCAACAGAAATGCAATGTTTTCGTATACTAGGGGATACACCAGAAAACTCAAGTCCATTTTCCCACCCCTAACAAATGCATGGAATCGGGTTGGACCACCCCACCCATGAAAAAAAAATAAAACTCTAAACTTTATCCTGACTGCATCTGCAGCCAAGTTGTGGAGTCTGCCGTTAGATACTCAACTGACAATACAAATCAATAGCGTCTATTTCGGTGTTCAGCCTTTGGTTAGTGCGCTGTGCCCACCCTCCCCCAGCTTCTTAAGGTGCACTAGTGTAAACCCACTATGTACTGTTGGCAAAATGGCTGTCGTGATATTTCTTTTTGTTTTGAGGCCGTGACCCCCTTGGTGGTATCAGCTAACCCGTCCTTGACACGGTTTGGTCAGGGTGGTCTCAATATGAGTCTACTTGAACGTACGCAGCAACATGCACATCGGGTCTGACGGATGTTTGCTTGATCAGTGGCCAGTCGGGACGTATTATTCAAATGTCACCAGTTACTGAAATTGCAATCTGAGATAATACAAGAATCTCACCGAGGTACACTCTCACCGAGGAACTGTTGCACTAGTGACTAGTGAGATTAAAATATAAACCCCACATGCGTCAAAATTAGAAGTGCACGAACGCCTATCCGGTGCACACGTCTTATCTCAATGTCGTATTATGTGCATGGGTCAGCAGGAAGACATTGTTTACACACGTGATGGTGCTGTTTACACACGTGATGAACGGTGGAAGAACGGGGGAAAAGTCTCAATATAAGAAGTAGCCCAGTATCAAGACTTTAATCTTACAACTCTGATCTCTCTCTGACTACTCTAATCCATCTACCTCTCTGACTACTCTGATCAATCTGGCGTCATCCAGTGTGGATGGAAGGACGAAAGTATATCCTAGAAAAGTGTTTTTGTTCCCCCCCCCCCCCCCTTTTCACAACGTGGAGCCTATCAAACTGCCCGTTCAATAAATGCACCTACTGACAGCAGCGTTAGTTTGTTCATTGTGAAGCCGTGTGCAAAAATATATCCTTGTCTAAATCCAGTGAGAAACCGTACACAATCCTGTACGGTCGTACGATTCAAACAACTTCTAAAAACCGTATAGACTACAGGTTGGCATCGTGAGGTAGAGGGATCAGAGAAGTAGAGCTATCAGAGAGGTAGAGAGATCAGTGAAGTTAGAGAAGTAGAGTAGAGGTATCAGCTCAGTAGAGTAAGAGGGATGTCGGGGAATCAGTTGGAAGGATGACATAAAGCAGGCCTGCACAACATACGGCCCGTCAGACCCACTTTGCGACCAGCAAAGTAACGAAATATTCTTTTTTATTAGTATTTCTTAATAGCCCGTCCTAGGTTAGGGTTAGGGTGTGCAGGCCTGACATAAAGAAAAACATGTGCACAGGAAATGTTCCAGCAGACTGGAGAACAGCGCATGTCACTCCAGTCTACAAGAAAGGGGAGCATTCCGACCCTGCCAACTATCGTCCGATATCCCTCACCAGCGTGGTCTGCAAACTGTTGGAGCTCATAATCGTAAGCACAGTCATGAAGCATCTTGAAAGCCAAAATATACTCAATGACTGTCAACATGGCTTCCGAGTCAATAGATCATGTGAGACCCAGCTTCTTGAATTTGTAGAAGACCTGATGACCAATCTGGAGAACAACAAGCAGACTGACGTGCTGGTGATGGACTTTGCAAAGGCATTTGACCGTGTGAATCATAGTTTGCTTCTACGCAAACTCCAGAGATATGGGCTCCAAGGCACTTCTAAAACATGGATCTCTAGCTTCCTCAGCCACCGATGCCAAGCAGTAGTGGTGGACGGTACAAGCTCCTCCTTTGTCTATGTGAAGTCAGTGGTCCCCCAGGGATCAGTGCTGGGACCCTGTTTGTTCCTAGCATACATTAATGACCTACCCGAGAACCTGACATCACAATCAAGACTGTTAGCAGATGACACAGCGGTGTATAGGAAGATCGCCAACAGATCAACAACAGGAACAGAAACATTGAAAATCCCATCTACATGCATAGGAGCCAAAAATGATCACTAAATTGATCGTGGGCCCTTAAGATATAGAAGAAGAAGAAGACATGTGTGTTTTTTTTCTTGTGAAGGGTGATGTGGTGTTCCCTGGATACTAACGATTTACATTCGACTAGAAAACAGATGACACGGCAGCTATTTTTACTCTCTAGTTTACACAATAGACGTCATGACCCTTCTTCTACAACAGGGGTTCTTAACCGTTCTGCAGCACTGCACCCACTCTTGATTTTAAACCATTTGTCGTACCCCACCTCGGTTTGATTTCCCGCAGCCCCGACAGTAAAAACGCTAATGAGCCAGCTTTTCTCTCCCCGCTACCGCTACCTTCCGCACCCACCGACACTGCCTCCCGTACCAATGGTTAAGAACCCCTGTACTCCAAGAAGTTAAAAAGGCGCGTCACAAGGTACGGCTCAAGGCCATTCGCACAACAACAACCCCCCAAGGCCGACTCTCTAAACAAAAAAACTTTATCTGGCAGAAAATACTATCTCCAAAGATTGTTTAAATCCAGTCCGTGAACTATACATGATGATATCAAACAGTAATAACGTGAAAGAACATACTGAAACTCTCTGTTGTCTTGGCCAGATTATATATCAAGACATTATTGTAACACAGGGTCTCCTAACATTTTCTTTATTTTGCAACCCTACCGATTAAGTCTCGCACCCCCTACAAAAGTAACTATGAACTATAGTTTTATATACAGTTTTAGAAACGCTTTTTGTCCCAACCCCTGAGATGCCCCCTCGTGCTCCCGTGAGGTTGGGAACCCCCTGCTGTTAACAATAGCTCCAGATACGAGAAGTGACCATTTTAATTATAAAAAAAGAACAAAAATACCGGCAGTCTTAATATGCTGCATCAGCAATTTAAAGTCTTATTAACAAGCCCAAGAAAAGTTATTTTTTATCACCTCAGACCACCTTTAAAAGGGAACATTGCAAAGTAAATAAAATTCAACAAATTCCACAGATCTAAATCTAAACTCAAGGGTTTTTGTTTGACGTTATTTCAAAGCAAGGTTATTATGAGGGTACGGAAATACTGAACTACCGAATCAGCAATAAATAAAGGAACAGGACACAGGAAGGGGTGTGCTTCACGCCATCAACTCTCTATCAAAATTTTAACACATATGATATCTCAATTTGCTCGCCATGACGTCCAAAAAGAAGCTATAAGTGACAATGGACCTCAGTTTTGCTGTGAAGTGTTTCACAACTTAATACAGTGGGGATTTAGACACATCAGTTCAAGTCACAGATAACCACAATCTATTAGCATCGCTGAAACCGCACTTCATAAGAATCCCAATAAGCGCCCCCCCCCCCCCACTTCAAACCACAATTTTTCACGCCCCTGAACTATCTAAATATTCTATTGGGCCACCTCCTTTAACACGCAGATTTATTACACCAACTTTCCTTANATCGCTGAAACCCCCCTTCAAAAGAATCCCAAAAAGCGCCCCCCCCCCCCACTTGCAACCACAATTTTTCACGCCCCTGAACTATATTAATATTCTATTGTGCCACCTGCTTTAACACGCAGATTTATTACACCAACTTTCCTTAAAACACAAGAAAATATTACGGACCAAAGGCACTTGCAATATTTTTAAGAATATAATTTAGTGCAATATTGGGACTTTTATTTTGATAAATCAGAGGCATCTGGTTGCTTTAAAATTGATATTTGGGGGTTGGGGCTGAAAATTTGATAAAATGTGTTGTCATGGGCAAAGTGTCTATGTGCCAAGTGTCAACTAAATAGAATGAGGGGAAGTGGGACGATTAGCCTTCCGAAAATTTTGCCACAAAAAAAAAAAAAAAAGAGAAGTTAATATAATGGATTTAAAAAAAAAAAAAAAAAGAGTCTGTAGTGAAAATGTGCCAAGTGTCAACTTAATAGAATGAGGGGAAGTGGGAAGATTAGCCTTCCGAAGATTTTGCCAAAAACACACAAACAAAAGAGAAGTTAATATAATGGATATAAAAAAAAAAAAAAAAAGAGTCTGTAGTGAATCTGTCTCTCTTCTATACAGGGCCACCAATCCTATTCCAGCACACATGGTAACTAGATATGGCAGGCAAATGAAACCACCAACACTCTACTCTGATAGTAACATCTCAAATATACATTGATTTACAATACAAATTAATTGTTGAACTATTTGTGCACACAGAGCTGTTTTCTGACTTTATTCTTGATTGTTTTATCACTAAGAGAGATGTGACGGTAAGAGTCACTGACCAGTACTTTTGTCCAGTTGTCTGACTGGAAGTGGTGAGTTGTTTTCACGAATGTCTAAACTTAAATAAGTGAATTTTGGGTGAATAACTGGAGTGAGTGGTCATGTGATGTTGGGTATACAAAGAATGAGAATAAAGTTAGTTGCTACACAGACCACAGCCTTATCTTCATATCTTATTATACTATTATAATAGCCAATTAATATTGTTTCTATATAGAAGAAAATTGAATATTATATATCTAGCAAGTAAATGAATTAATATGAAATAATACCCAAAACCTCATGTACTAAAATATCCACAAATGAAACAATAACGAGTAAAGGGGGTGTGGGGTGTCACATAAAAAGACCAAAAAATGCACTCCACACATCAACAGGGACAAATCACTTGAACCAGAAATCAATGTATTTTCTCCAACTCTTGGCCTTTGTACCAATCAAAAAATTTCTGAGGCTTGCAAAAATGGAGGAATAAACAAATGGCATATCAAGTCAATAGTATTAATTTTTTTTTGTGTCAACTTCACCAGTATAAGGACAACCATCAGGAACTTTATATATACCCAGCCATTGTAGTACCTGTCATAAGCAGAGAATTTGCTCTACTGGGCAGAAACAGAAATGACATAATTAAAGCATTCAGGGAACTTGAAAATACCTCAGTCACAGCTGGTCGTGATGTAAATAAAGTGAAGACAAAATATATATGATAATGTCACGAAACATCCACACTGATGACAACATCAATACAAACAACCACAAATTTGAGAGAGTGGCTACTTTCAAATATCTAGGGGCGACTATAAACGAAAACAATGAAATAATTTCGGAGGTGAGAGAAAGGATAACAGCAGGCAACTGTCCCTACTTCAGCCTATAAAAGATACTGGGAAGCAAGAACCTCTCAAGGCACTTCTCAGGGGATGCTCGGCCCCCTCCCTCCCCTTACAGAAAGTGATTTTAAAAAAGGGCTCCACAGTCAAAGAAGCTGGGAAACAGGATTAAGAGAGCTTCCAATTGTAGCAGGCACCTGAGTCAACTACAACGCCACACTTGCCTGAGAACCCTTGCGTGGGAAATGTGACACAGTTAATATCAGGAGCCTGAAACCTTCTAAGCTCCTATGGTAGAGTGACCGCTGACTAGACAACTCATCACATTCTTGAGGTTATCTGTCAATGACCATGCTTGGGACATTACATTATCTGATAATTAGCCATTAGATGACATCATCCAGAGGCCAGGAGTAAACTAACAACTATATTAAAAATAATGCACACATGGCAATTTCAAATGACCAGTAATTGGCCATTTGAACAATCCTACAAGACTGATTTCATGTCTTTGATAATCTCAATTATAAACATTTGTGTCTTAACCCAACCCAGACATACACCGTTACACACAGGATTAAGTTAAAAATGTATTTATTGTGGCAGAAAATCTAAAGATTTAAGACCAACTTGACTTGAACCTGATTAGAGACAACAAATCAGTAATTCAAGTTCAGCTTATTTTTGTGTGGTTTTTTTCAGATGATAACACAATCAGAAACAATGGTTTCAAGGCTGACTGATTGCATGCACTTTTGGGTAACCTTGATGTTTAAGCATGAAATGAAACCGTAAACCTGCGCCTTACGAAAAAAATGATTTCTTCTTAATTGTTTCAAGGATACATGCACAGAACTGTATACTTGTGTACCTTTAATTGGAGGGAAGGCTATTCTGAGCAGGGGGTGAATTCTCTCACTGGATAATTGATTGGCTCATTGTGCGGATGAAACAAGGATATAGTCAAAAAATACAATAGATTTTAACTACATTTCTAGAGGACCTGGACTAAGCCATTAACAAGTATTAAGAACCCCACTTAAAAACTGACCAGATGCAACTTCCAGTGTCATTAGCTTTAAAAATCAGAGTAAGGAAAACACAAGACTTGAAAATACCACTGGGCTAATCACTGTTATCAACAGCTCACTGGAGGATATGACAGAATTGGAGTATAGAAGAAGCAAGGTTAAACCAATGGTGATTATGACGAGAAAATCAACATGTGTATCAATAAAGCAAATAGGGCATTACAAATGGTGACATTGGGAGTGAAAACTGTTGTCAAACCTAAAGATGGAGGTTGGAGAAGGCTTGGGTTCATATTTATATATGGTTACCAAGCTCACTTCAAAAGGTAGCAATAACATGAACATGATATGGCTGAAAACCCAAACAATTTAATTTTAACAGTGGCAGTGATAAAAAAAAGAAGAAAAGGGTAATGGATGTGCTAATCATTTTGTTTAGAAAGTATAGCTTACCTTGGCTAGAAGCTTTTCTGTTGCATATGCAATGGCTGGGTAGATGCCAATAGCTGAAAAAGAAGAAGTATATTTTAATTCAGAGCTTACCATGACTTGTGAGGTTCTTATTTTTTTACAGTTTAAAAAAATTGTTTATTGCTCATTCTGAAAGATCATCAGAATACTTACATAATGTCAGTAGCAAGTTTGGCCAGTTGTAAGGTTCATTAAAAAACCATTGAATGAATGACAAGTTAATGAGAACACCATACCTAAAAGCAGAAAAATTAGAAAAAGTGTAAAAGATTCAGACTTGAATGATACATTTACTTTAACATATATATATATATATATATATATATATATATATATATATATATATATATAAAAATGTAAAAGATAGATATTTAAATTATATATATATTTTAATATATATATATATATATATATATATATATATATATATATATATATATATATATATATAAGAAGGTACAAAATAAATTTGCAAATATCCATGTCATTTGAATTTTTCTGATGTTCGGAATTAATTTTGAAAGTTTAAAAATACCACTGTCATTGACAACATGTTTTAAGCAGCTCTCTGACAATGAAAATCAAGTATTTATTTCAAATTAAATTGTTTCATAGATTTAAAATTAAAAATGACTTAATGTTACTCCAAAAGAATTAATAATTTAACTGATCAATAATTAATCTTACTTTATAAAATTCTCCAAAAAAAGTCTTGCATTTCCCAATACCTGAAAAAAATTTTCCTTGTTAAGTTTATTTTATATGAATAAGATTTTGTTTGAGATTACATTATAAAACAATCCTTTTGTACATTACGCCTTAACAATACTTACTCTAAATATGAAATTAAAAACAGCTTTGGTTATAGCAGCGGTTCTCAAACCTGTGGGTCGCAATCCTTTCCCAGGGGTTGCCTAAGGCTATCGGAAAACACATATCCCCCTACAGTTATGAAGCAGCAAGGAAAATAATTTTGTAGGCTGGGGGTCACCACAACAAGAGGAACTGTATTAAAGGGTCGCGGCATTAAAAAGGTTGAGAACCACAGCTCCATAATCTAACTAAAAATATTTTTCTGTGATCACTTTTAATTAATGAAAAAAAATTTACCCTATGGAAATTATGGAATGGGTCAACCTAAAAGAAAAATTAATTCAATACTGCCCACTTACCAAAAGGATGAGACAAAGATTGAGGATACCATAGTAGTTAGTGAATCCACTGCTGGTACTAAACAGCGAGTCTGCATGGCTATGGACACTACAACATAATAATATAAATTATAATCATGAGAATTAAAAGCAATATACAACATTAAGATATTGAATTTTAAAAAAAACATACAACATACCAATTTACTGAAAGCTATGCATATAGGTATAGCTTGACAAATACAATCATATTTAATAAGCATTGTAATTTTATTAACTTTCTATCATAATATATGTTCTTCAAAGATATGATTTGTAGATTTACATTAAATTATTAACATTTTACTTCTTTCACATTTACTTCAAATTTATTAAAACAATATCACACATGCTGTGACTGAGAAAATAATTCCATTAAAAAAAAAGTACTGTTTGTAGATGTCATTAGATTCAGTCCTTAAAGATAAACCAATTAACAAATAATCTTACATGTTTTTATTCTCGTTTGGTTTAGGATGAACCATAAATTCTGGTTCTGAGAGCCAACCTGGCACAACTGTTAGAAGTGATTTGATAAATTTTGATCTGCTTCTACTAAAAAAATCATTACATTTAGATTCTTGTTCCGGTGCAGCAAGTCTCTGCATCTCCCCACCACATGAATGACAAAGCTTTCCCCTAAGGTGTCTATTTTTATTAAAAGAATTTGTACTACTGTTTGTTGTTGCAGACTTGGACAAGGTTCCAGCATTATAAGATCTTCTCTTTACTCTGAATAAATTGCTGTCTAAGGAGTTCTGGGAGAGATTACAATTTCTTGAATATGATTTTCTACTCATGACACAATGATCTTCTGTACAAAGCTGACCATCTGACTCAGAACTTTCTGTACTACTCTCAGAGATTTTCTGAGTACATTTATTAGATCTCATTCTGTTGGTGACTCCATTTTCTGAAAGTCCATTGATACCATTTTTTATAGGAGTGATGTACTCCTCTTTAGACAAAGAGGTATTTCCATTATGATGCATTTTTAAAAACGTTTTTCACTCTTTTTTAAAATCAAAAACTTGCTTTTTACAATCCATTATTCCGATCCTATAGAAAATACTGAATCTCTGGTTTTGTAGTACAATTTCAGGGACGAGTTCAGCTTTTAATATCTCTGTGACTCCGTGTACTGCATATTATTAATTGATAATTGAACTACTGTTCCTTGCAGGGCCAGGTCTATTTAATTTGCAATGTCCTTTTTTTTTTTAAAAGTGAGGAATTAATTAGCACAATAGCACAGCCTAAATTTAATTTTTGAAAAATAAAGAAGCACATCCAAATAATTGATTGATATAATATTATTAACTTTTCCTGCCTATGCAGAATTCTCAGATTCAGATGTCCCAGCAATGCGGTGCCTATAATAGTAGTAGGCCTAGTCCCAAAAATGCAATGCCTACAGAAGCTACAGTAGGCCTATACTTAAAAGTACTATTAAGATTACTTCAATTAATTATCTTGGCAAGAAAAAAGTTATCTAAACTAAATAACATTTAGCCTAGGTCTAGGTGAGTAAGTTGAATTTATGAAAAACAGAAATGTTCCAGTTAAAAAAACAAAAAACAATCACAATGTCAATTAATTTGAATTAAAAAGATTCCTATTCACTAAGGCGTGACTAAGGACTAAGAAGACTAAATTCAATAAAACATTCTTTTAAATAACTGTAATTTAGTAATTTTTAAATTTTTGCCTCTAATTCTAATTCTATTTTACGATTTACTATCTCTATATACTATAAATATAAAATGAAAAATAGGCTAGATAAATTGAAAATCTTAAAATAATTGCATTTTTAAAAAAAACATGAAAGGGATTTAATAAAAATATAACACTTATAGTAACTTATAGGTATATAAGGCTTGAGTCTTGAACGATAGTCGCACATGATTAATATGCCTGCCTTGCGATTATAATAATACACTTAATACAGCAATGCCTATAAGTCCAGTAGCCGGTAGTCAGTTGTAGTACTGAAGACTGAAGTAGTTCCAAACAATAATGATATTGAAATTGACAAGAATGGAGTCCACTGTGGTAAACAAATGCACTACTACTGTTATTGCTTTTATTAAATAAAGAAATGTGCTTAGTTCAGGTCACGGTTGGCCTTTTGAAGCTTTCCTAGCGATGAGACCTGGCCTCCAACTAAACTCAACGCCACTATCGGGTCAACAATCAACACCGCAAGGCGTGACAAAAAGCTATTTTAAACCACAAATACAAACGACTCCGCTATGAGAAACTATTTTTAGCGCCCAAGAGTTTACCATTAGGGTCAAGGTCATAATCTTAGGCAAGGGAAATCACAATGAAAATATTTTTGTATCTAATAGTCTAATAGCAATTAATGAATCACAACAATCTTGTTTATATTGTTATCCTTTGACATTTATATTTTAGATACTTTAAATGGCAATACATAATTTAATGAGATTTTTAAAAAAATTGTAAACATTACTTACGGTTTGCAATCGCTTAAGAATCTTTCTTTGCGTTCAATCTGTTGAGAATCCTCAATTTTAGTACTCTGTGATCGACGGAGACGAGTATTTGTCGCCATCTTAAAAAACAGGAAGTTGGTCAAATTCCAGTTGCCAAACGAACTCTTCTTTGGCTTTTGGGTAAATAAGCCGCACCGAACATTGGGACGATCTCCCACGAAAACGAAAGTTAAAGGAAGGACTACTATACTATAAATATTGATGGCTTACATGGATCTACTTAATAATCATATACTGTTTGATTTTTATAAACATTGCTTCTGAAATTTAGTAGGCTTTAATATATCCCTTACTAAGTCTAAGCTGACTACTTGCCCAACTCTCTGAATCTCCCAGTCTCTCACTCACTCACTATCACTATCAATACTATCATTGTCAACTATGACTATGATACTGCTCTACTCTACTAAATTACCAAAGTGACTAAAGGATGCCAAAGACTACTTAAATCAGGACCAACTAAAGTCTTTATTTAATAATCTGGGCTGAGGTGAAAGTTTTTAGAATTGTTAGTACTGGTAGGCCTAATAATAATAGAACTTCCTCACTCACTGCACAATCAGAGTCGGAGGTAAATAAAAAATCACTGAAATCTGAATCTGATCTCACCCCTGAGCCTGGAATAAAAATGTCATCACAAACAATTAAATTTCCAGAGCTTGAAGGCTTTCTAAATCGATCATTTTTAGACCTGGAAAAAATAGACGAGGATCTCTTCAGGTTTGTTAACATTCACATGACATAAATTATTCAGACTAAATCATAAAAAATGAATATGCCTGTACTTTGGATTTTGCTAAAGTCAAAGTAATAAGCAGGGCTTATAGTTTGTCTCTAATATCTTGAGAGCCATCCATAAATAACATCGGCTAAAACCGAGTACGGCTGCCACGGCGTCTTTTGTGTCTTTATTATAGTTGCGGTTAGGTTAGGTTTAGGGATCGATTTAGGGTTCAGGTTAGGCATAGGGATCGATTTAGGGTTCAGGTTAGGCATAGGGATCGATTTAGGGATACATTCGTGAAAATCGATAAAAAAGTGGCAGGCGTCCCCATTTTTAACCATAACGTCATATGAGGGGAGATCAATCATTTTATGATTATGTGTTATAGGGCAGTGCTCCGCAATCTTATTTTACTCACTGCACAACTAGAAACTTTCTAGATTTCTGCAGCATACCACAGTTAAAGCATGAAAAAAAAAACACAACTGATTCACTTTTGTTTACATGTACCAAAATTATAAAAATTTTATTATACCTATAGTCCTGAAATTCACATGATCTTTTATAGCCTTTTATATTAAGGGATTTATGTCATTAAATAGTTTTCGACTATTTAAGACCTAAGACCAAACGTCAATAGAGAATAAATATAAGGAAAATATTTTTAAAAACTGCATACACGAATTAAAATATTTAATTTTAACAATAACTATTGAGATGTTTGAGCCTTTTTTGCTGAAAATAGTTGTTTAAAATTTTGCTCAATAACTGAAAGAGCAAATCTTTGTTCACTCTGAATGCCTACAAGAACGACCACCTATCCTTTTTAACTAAAACGAGTAGAAAAAATTTGTTCGCATATGTTATTGAAAACTGTAGCAGAACTTGTATAGCCTGATACATTCTAGAATATTCTTCCCTCCTTGACTAAAACCCATGAAACATCGATTGAAACTTTGGTGAGCATTATTTTGAGTGTCCCTGTCATTCCTTAATTTCCAGAAATTTCTCTTGAACCTGGAGGAAGAGTTCTTCTATATAATTTTGGGTGTTTAAGGCTAAATGATTTTGAAACAAATTGTATAGCTCCATATTTACTGTATGAAAAGTATGGGTCAAGCTATTTATGCAGAAAAGTTAGATGTTGTTATGCCAAGTACAATTTTTCAATGAGTTTTTTAAAAATATCACTTGATATTTCATCAATAAGTCTTTAAACTGTATCCGCTGATTGCGAAACTTGTTTTACTTCCTTAGCATTATTAGGCCCTAGCATTATTCAAATGATTTCCATAGGCCTACATGCTGGTTTAATAAATATTTCACCTATTGCCTGTGTTTTTTAGGACATGCTATTAATCTTAAAACTTAATTACTAGCTTCTAACACCATTTCAGATACCTTCAGGGATGATGTAATTTTTTTTTTACTCTACTTAAGATTTTGAATTGAAATTCACTGAAAAATATTCTTTATTCTTTTTGGCACAACATGAATGTTTTGGTTTAAGATGGCGAATAAGCTTGCCAGGCATAATGACTTCGTTAACATGTTGTTCATTGAAAATTGTAGACTCAGGTTTTGGAGCCAATTTATCCCGACTCTACAAAAATCCCTATTGAATATATTCATCTTTTCAATATATTTTCATAATCTTCAATTTTTTACACACCTTTTTATATCCATTTTTAAATTTGTAGTATTATAGTTAATTTCCAAAGCTCTTTATGTATAATGATTTAAACCAAAAAAACATTCCCATTTAAACAATTAATATTTTGATTGAAATAAAAGCAGTGAATACTAACTTATGACATAGTAATAGTTGCATATATTTTTCACTTCCAATAACCAAACAAGCCGCACACAAACAAGGATAAAACATAGGCAATAATTTTTTTTTTAAATTGTCACATGATAAACATGCGTTTGAGTGTGTCAAGAAATCAGATTAAAGATCTTTGATGCCCTCAGTCTGGACAGGATGTGGCTTGTATAGGTTTCATGCCCTCAGTCTGGATAGGATGAGGCTTGTATGGGAATTGTTTTAATTTTTCGATGAAAAAATGTTACATGTGTGTGTAAACAAATTTTAAAGAACTAGAAAAAAAAACATTCAAAGTATCACACAGTACAGCCATGAAAAGTGTGTGATCAAAGCCCAACAGGGATATATTTTAATGGTCAGCTCAGACACATTAACTGGATGTTTGAAATGGTGACTTGACATGTGACCCAAAAAATTTAAACACGCAGATGTGCTCAGCTATGTGACTTCACTCATTTGGTGGCTTGTTAATTAGCCAATCATCCCTTTTGTGGCCACAAATGTATAACTTCTCCACATTTTCTTCTTCCTCTGGGAGGAATTATGCCCAGCTCACCTAGCATCATCAAGCAGCACCCTGGTGTGCCACTGCACATCGGTTTGCACACCGGTTGTGGGTGTTGTGGAACTCTGTTTTAGGATGTTGAACTTTTTGTGATCTTTTGTGATGATGGGGAGGAAGTGTGGGTAAAAATATGCAAAATATAGTGTATATTCATTTATGCTACTGAGGTTTTATTGATAGTTTGTTTGCTGTAACTTGTAAGCTAGAAGTTTATCTTCAATTTTCTTTTTTTAAAGCTATGTGTACTGGTTATGTGTGTAAATTAAGTAGGCATAATAATAAATTATTTTACAGTACAAACTTGATTTTACAGGCTGACAGTGACCAGGTATGTAACAAAACATCACATGCAGAAGTATTATTTAAATTAAATTATACAAACCCTAAAACAAAGTTTTTGTAGAAATCCTTTATAAGCATTTTTGTTTGCATTTATGTAATTAAACGTGATTTATGTGATTGTAGCAATTGATTTTGGTATGGGAATGGTTTTTATCAAGGGAATTTCATATTAGACGCGGCTAAGACAGGGAGACTCACTGTCTTGTATGCTCTTTAACCTAACATTAGAAAGAGTTATTAGAAACATACACATTGACACTCGAGGAACAATAACAGGATACTTCTGAGGGAAACTCAAGACCCACAACCAACGGGCACACTTTACAACCAACCACTTCAGTATCTTGCATATGCTGATGACATAGCACTTCTAGGGAAAAGTATAAAAGACATATCAAAATCTTTTATTGAATTAGAAGACGCATCTTTACAAGCAGGGCTGGAAGTTAACAACCAAAAAACAAAATACATGACCATGATAAGAGAGGAACAAACAGATGAAACAATTAAAATTAGAAACCAAACTTTTGAAAAAGTAAATCAATTCAAATACCTAGGATCCTTGTTAAATGAAAGAAATGAATTACTAACAGAAATAAAAGAAAGAATATCAGCCGGAAACAGGGCATACTTCAGTAGTCAGAAAATACTCAAAAGTAAAAACATTACAACAGAAACAAAGAAAACTATTTATAAAACTGTGATCAGACCAGTTGTAACATATGCAAGTGAAACTTGGACCCTAACAAAGACAGCAGAAAACCTATTAAACACATGGGAGAGGAAAGTTCTCAGGAAAATATATGGGCCAACAAAGGATGAATATGGATGGAGAATACGAAACAACCAGGAATTATACAGTCTATATCAGGATCCTACGATAGTGGCAGAAATAAAAAGAGGCAGGCTACGCTGGGCAGGACACCTACAGAGAATGCAAAATGACAGAGGAATGAAGAGGGTACATCACCAATACCCCAGAGGAAAAAGGCTCAAAGGCAGACCCAGGCTTAGGTGGATAGATGATGTAGAAAAAGATCTACAGCAGCTGAAAGTCCAAGCATGGAAAATAAAAGCATTAGTTAGGTCTGAGTGGAAGGAAGTCGTGAGGCAGGCCAAAGCCCTACATGGGCTGTAGCGCCACAGGGATGGAATGGTTTTTATCAAACTTAGTGCATGTAAAGCCTAATAGACTAAAGATATGTTTAAAACCAAAATGTCACAAATACAAAGCACGTAGCAATAGCTACACAATTAATATCCACACCAAAACATACAACCATTGAACAAATCATTAACATTGAAAAACATGAAAAACTGATTATTTGGTGTTGGGGCTAAAAATTTTAGAGAATGTGTCGTCATCGGCAACAAGTCTATGTGCCAAGTTTCAGCTCGATAGAATGATGAGAAGTGGGTCAATTAGCTGTCTGAAGATTTTGCTACAAACACACAAACAAAAGCAAAGTTAATATAAATATAAAGAATGTTAAAAATGTAGTTTAAAAGGTTTGTTTCTGGAAATCTAAATTTTATGTCAGGCTTCTTGGGAAATGGTTGTCCCATGATCTGACTGTAAATACTATGATGATGATGCTTCCTTTCCATGCACGTCATGCACTCTACATGTCTGTTTCACAAAATATAAACCTGTTTAACCTAGTGCCCAGTGTCTTTATATTCAAGTTTCTACTCTACATTTTGTTTTGGTCAGTCACATTTTATGGAACTTGGTCTTGGACAACATTTGCCTGAGAAAATTTAATTTTAAGGATTTTTGTGTCAGTTATTTTCATATGTGGTAATACAAAGAATGAAACAAATGAAAATTACATGATTTTGTTCTTTGAGGGACCTAAAAAATTTGCACCTACTATAAATAATCTTCCGTGATCTACTTTCTCTTTAGAAGTAAAACATTATGGAAACACAGATTAGCTCGAGGAGTGTATGGCGGGCAAATGATTGGTCACTCTCTTGTAGCTGCTTCTCATGGGATACCAGAATCACAGCATATACACAGTCTTCATTCATATTTCCTTAAAAATGGTAACCTTTAATTTTTTATTAAGATAGATTTTTTACTTCTTTCATGTTTTTATTTGTCTCCCTGTCTCTTCAAAAAAGCCTTCAACTTTATATAATGAGAATTCATGTTGTTATTTAGATTAAGAATGTTGAGTTTAGCATATTAAGATTAACACTGATGTAGTGTTATTGTTTCTTAATTAGCCAGGCAGCCAAGTTAATGCACTTACTCTTGCTAAAAATTGTTGTTTAAAAAAAAGAAAAGAAAACAAGACAATTTTCACCGTAGAATGTTTTAAAGAAGCAATGCTCATTTCTTTGCTTTGAACTGACAGGTAACACAGATATGCCCATGCTCTACCATGTTGATAAGACAAGAGATGGAAAGACCTACCATGCCCGATCAATAAAAGCTCGTCAAGCTGGCAATGTTGTCTTCACAATGCAAGCTTCATTTAAAAGCTATGAAACTACTGTAAAGACTCATCAGTTACCAATGCCTAAGGTAAAGTTCGCTTAAATTCAATTTAAAGAAAAATTAAAAAAAAGAAAAAACTTCATAAAAACGACTCCCTATTAAAAGACAAATTTAAACCATAAAAAGAGAAAATAATTTAAAACTCCTTAAAAAGCATTACGCATAGAAAGACTCAGCAGAAGTTTAGATTAGCACTCTCAGTAGCAAAAGGATTTGAAATGGATGTAGATAAAACTTAAATATGTTTATTTTTTATTAATTTAAAAACATTTTTTTTTGCATAGAATTTCTTTGCGTAATGCATTCTAAGAAATGTTCATTTGTATCTTCTTTTAGTGGTTTAATGGTGTCTTTGACAGAAAGTCTGTTTTTAAAACTTTTTTAAAATATCTTAATACTTTTTAGTGCTAAAATTTGAATCTGTAAATTATTGGCCAAAGAAGTATTATTTACAGTACCTTAAAAAAAACTCCTACGGCTCCCCATTTGATCTCCCCCTACCCCCTCAATTCTCCTTCCGTTGCAGACACAATGTGGACACAACTAGATTGTGACCTTTAAGGTGAACACTAGACTGGCAGTGAACCCAGCAATCTGACTCAGTCACGTGTCTAAACGAAAAATAAATAGCGACAAACAAGATGGAAATGCAAGTAGAAAGAAGATCTTTACAAAAATAGATAAATAGGTTCTAGCTTTAACGAATACAAATGAAAATGATAGACAGATGCTCCAGCCTCATCGTGGCCTCACTAAACCTAATACATTCTAGTTCATTGATATGCTTACCTTAATGTTAGGAATGTTTGACACTGTTGACCATGAAATCCTCTTCAAAACCCTTGAAAACTACTTTGGAATTTCTGGTTCGGTTTTGGCTTGGTTTAGGTCCTACCTCTCTGATAGAACGCAAATCGTCTCTGTCGATGGCTGTCTCTCCGGCAGTGCTGATTTGGTGTACGGAGTGCCACAGGGGTCCGTTTTGGGTCCGGTTCTATTCATAATGTATACCAGACCACTACTCCTCTTGCTCGGGAGGCATGCTGTTGAGAACCAGTCATTTGCAGATGATACACAGCTATACATGCATACCCATCCATCTCTTGTCGATTCCGCTGTCCAGACTTTGCGGGGGTGCATTGATGATGTCAAGTCTTGGATGACACTCAGCAAGTTGAAGCTTAATGATGACAAAACAGAAGCACTCCTCATTTACAATCACAAATCATCCTCTACCTCAACTCTTCCCACCTCATTTCAAGTAGGTAACTCCGACATACAGTTTACACCCTCTGCTAGGAATCTTGGTTATATTCTTTCTAACAACATGTCTCTCGATAAACATATCTCTCACATTTGTCGTTCGGCATACACCGCCATCCGTCAGATCAGCTCCATCCGCCACTACCTGACAGTTAGCGCAACAAAAACTCTAGTCTGTGCTCTTGTTCTCTCTCGTCTTGACTATTGCAACTCACTTCTGTCAGGTTCACCGAAACATTTTATAGAAAAACTGCAGAAAGTTCAAAACTCTGCTGCTAGGCTTGTTCTTAAGGCAAAAAAACGTGATCACGTCACTCCACTACTCCACTCACTACATTGGCTCCCTATACAGGCACGCATTGACTACAAGCTGTCTCTTCTCTGTCACAACTTTTTCTCGGATTCCTGCCCTTCCTATCTAACTGAACTTCTTTCTGTCTATTCACCCCTTCGACAACTTCGCTCCTCCGCAGACTCGCGTATTCTGTCCGTTCCCAAGACACGCACTAAATTATATGGTGAACGATCTTTCTCTTTCTGCGCCCCCAAACAATGGAATTCTTTGCCACTACACATCCGCAATATAACAACCACACAGGCCTTCAAAACTGCACTCAAAACACATCTATTTAAACTATACTACTCTGACTGATTCTCCTCCTATAAACCGATAAACGTACATGGGTTTCCTTGTAAAAATGTCTGGTGTGGGTGGATGAATATACCTATGGTGTTGTTTTGCTTATATGTTGTTTTTATTTCATTTATGTATTTTATTTTAATATTATGATTATGCCTCTTTGCTATATATGTACAGCGCGGTGAGCCCAGCCCTAGGCCGGGGTACCGCGCTATATAAGACCACTTGTTATTATTATTATTATTAGGAATAGTTGGAAGAAAGTGAAGACTGAAAATGCATACAAATTTTTTAAAATGCTTATTGGTAGGATTTTGACAAAAGAGTCTGCCAAAAACAATATAACATCTCTAATTTGTACACATTCATTTGTCAAAATTTACCATTGTGCTCCCCCAGCAATTAAAAAATCTAAATGATCCCTAATTAAATCATTATTGTCACTAAGGGAGTTAACTTTTATGGTAGATGATGGCTGATTTTATGTCATAGAAGTACTTTAGAATTTCTAAAATGTTGTCATGGTTAAAATAATTATTTATTTATGCGCTGAAATGAATATGTACAACAATTTAATCAAACATTTCCATTTATTTGATCAATAACAGAATCATATTGTATCTTAGCAGACCTAAAAAGACTTTATTCCAGTTTTATGATAAAAAAACATGTAATATTAATGTTTGACTTTGCTTTGATCCTAACTAATAAGACTTTCAACACAAGCAAATTGGTTTTATTTTGAATTCTTATAAATTATTTTATTACTGGACGATGAGCTGGAATTTTCATGTGATGGATTTTTTTTTGTCTATGCAGGTCCCTCATCCTGATGAGTTAAAGTCACCTGTAGAAATACTTGATATGATGATAGAGTAAGGGTCTAGAATTTGTATCTTCTTAATTTCTTTTCATAATGTTATTTTTAAAAAACTCTTAGCTCTGCCATAAATCAATCAGAATAACTAAAACTTAAAAATTACACTAGTCATTACGCATCAATGAGTCCGCAATGCATAAACTTCCCATGTAGTTAAGTTACTTGACAAAACATGCATTCAAGTTCAAGTAATGCACTTTAATGTGGGAGAATTTTATCTTGCTCGCCTAATGAAAACATCGTTGCAGCAATACATACATACTTAGGGAATTATTATTACTGTGATCATTATAATACAATTTGACTAATGCAATCAAACATGGTCTCATGTTTTCATCAAATACAATCATTTATAACAGAAAGCTGCTCATTTTTAATCGGAAGTGTTTTCTTTAATATTTTACAGACAAGAGTTAATCTCCATAGAACAACACAAGCTTGGTCTTGAATCGTACGATGGCTTCCCAATAGACATCAGATGGGTTGATCCGTTAAAATTTATGTTAATTGAGCCACAGTATCCTAAACGCAGTCTATGGTTTAGGGCTCGTGGTCACATAGGTAACTGATAATGTACCACATTGTATCTCTTTGTAGTTTAATATGTCACATTTTAAACAAATTCTAATTACTAAACTTCTGTAATGATATCTTATTTCTAAGAAATCAAAAAAATATTGTCTGCTCCTAGCTATAACTTCTTCTAACTCTAAACGACACCTTTCTTTTGTTTGTTTGTATGAGTCAATAGAGTGTAGGCAGTCTTGTTTTAGTCACATTATATTTGGATCTTACTTCTAACCCAAGAATGGTTGCTTTATGAATTCCATTCCAGATTATTTTAGTTTAGAAGAGAAAGTCCTTTGGACTTTGTAGGTAAAAATTAGTTAATACCTTTTTACTGCATTGATTTTTATCCTAAATATAATAATTTTATAACATATCAGTGAACATGATGCCCCTTAGCTATTGTTTGTTCAAATCCAATGCACCTTAATTCAAGCTATATAAATAGGGAGGTAATTCTTCATTGCTAATAGCTCAAATCAGAAATAAAATTTTTATTTTATTTTAAACTTATATATATTTTTGAATAAAAAAAAACTACAATTTTCGATAGACAAATTATGTTGAAAATAGTTATGAGCTCATGAATTATGCCTCTTGAGAGCCTGAAAAAAGTAATAATGTATGCAATATATTAACAAATACATAATTGTTAGAATTTTTAACCTACACATTTTGATATTCAAATATTTAATTGTTAAAAACGTATTTGTTTGAAATTTGTTCACATGCAACCGACAGAGAAGAAATAAATTATTACATATAATTATGACCACTGCTCCCCACTCCCCGCTTTTTTTCTTCCATTAATTTATCACTGAAATGAATGAATTATTTATATAAAATACATTTCTTTGTGCACTACTTACAAAAGTCTTATAATAGTCATGTTCCTCTTACTGCAGGTGAAAATCTCCACCCAAACATCCATAAATGTTGCCTGGCTTACATGTCTGACCTGTTTGTAATACAAACAGCCCTGATGCCACACAGCCCTACTTGGGGAAAGCCCATATTTATGGCATCTCTGGACCATTCCATGTGGTTTCACTCCCCTTGCCGTGCTGACAACTGGATGTTGTATGAGATAGAAGCTGAAAGCTCTAGTAAGTGATAGAAGTTAAAGCTGAAAGCTCTAGTAAGAGATAGAAGTTAAAGCTGAAAGCTCTAGTAAGAGATAGAAGTTAAAGCTGAAAGCTCTAGTAAGAGATAGAAGTTAAAGCTGAAAGCCCTAATAAGAGATAGAAGCTTAAAGCCCTAGTAAGATATAGACGCTGAAAGTCCTAGTAAGAGATAAAAGCTGAAAGCCGAAGTAAAAGATAGAAGTTAAAGCTGAAAGCTCTGGTAAGAAATAGAAGTTAAAGCTGAAAGCCCTAGTAAGAGATAGAAGCTGAAAGCCCTAGAAAGAGATAGAAGTTAAAGCTGAAAGCCCTAGTAAGAGATGGAAGTTAAAGCTGAAAGCTCTGGTAAGAAATAGAAGTTAAAGCTGAAAGCCCTAGTAAGAGATAGAAGCTGAAAGCCCTAGAAAGAGATAGAAGTTAAAGCTGAAAGCCCTAGTAAGAGATGGAAGTTAAAGCTGAAAGCCCTAGTAAGAGATAGAAGTTAAAGCTGAAAGCCCTAGTAAGAGATGGAAGTTAAAGCTGAAAGCCCTAGTAAGAAATAGAAGTTAAAGCTGAAAGCCCTAGTAAGAGATGGAAGTTAAAGCTGAAAGCCCTAGTAAGAGATAGAAGTTAAAGCTGAAAGCTCTAGTAAGAGATAGAAGCTGAAAGCACTAGTAAGACATAAAGTTAAAGCTGTAAGCCAAATATTTACATTCCCCATAGCATGGTCCCCCATTCCTATATACTATACTTTGCCTTGGCTCTCCTGTGGAAAGAAAATAACTGACTCAGCAGTCTTTCCTTTGAGGTAAAGCCACCTTGTGTTTTAACACAGCTCCAATTCCTTTTGGCTCAATAGTTTGGAGGGTGGGCTCATGCTGTTGCTTGTGGTTCATTCTTCTGGACATAACCTGATTGCTGGGAGACATAACCTGATTGCTGGGATATGATGACAAGATTTCCTCCATGTTCATTGACCATCTACCATTTGGAATGGGGGTTATTTCTCAAAGACTTTTAAATGATGGCATTTAGAGTACTAACCTATTTAATTAACCAGAAGCCGATTCAGCTATGGAACTTTGAATTAATGATTGCAAGCTTTTCCCGACATGTGACCTGTTTTTTTAATTTTATTTGTTTTGTTTTGTATCATTTCAAAGGGGATCAGTGCACTATAAAACTGGTCCATTACACTGTGTCATAATACTGCAGTCCAGGCTCCCACTCTTTAGAATCATTTTGCATTGACTTTTGTTGTTGTTGACATAATTAAAACTTGATTTTGAATGACTCCGAGTTAATAAAAAAACTCCAAGTGTAAGTAACATGCCAAAATGAATCTCACACTGTGGTGCACAAAGCTGACGTAACATACCAAAATGAATCTCACACTGTGGTGCACAAAGCTGACGCGTAACATACCAAAATGAATCTCACACTGTGGTGCACAAAGCTGACGTAACATACCAAAATGAATCTCACACTGTGGTGCACAAAGCTGACGTAACATACCAAAATGAATCTCACACTGTGGTGCACAAAGCTGAACAAATAATTAACTCTATGGGCATTGCTTATTTTTAAAATGTGTTTGGTCAAAATGGCCTCTCTATTAATTCAACCTCAACATACCTTGTTGTACTATTTCATGTACACAGCTTGAATGCAGTCCATCAATTATTATGTTGTAAATGTATATTTAAATTTGTAAGTAAATGTATAAGTGAATAAATTCAACGAGTTTTGTTTTTGTCTCCCCATCAATCACAGCTGATGGTCGCGCCCTTTGCCGAGGCAGGATTTGGGACATCAATGGAACCCTGGTGACAACAGTTGCCCAGGAGGGCGTCGTGCGCATTCCAGGCTCAAAATCTAAATTGTGAAACTCAAATCTTAACTTATATTTATTTTAGGCTTGATAGATTTAACTGCTATATTAATTTATTGATATTATTTTTTAAAAATGTAGGGTCGCCAAGATTGTTTTTTTTAAAAAATGATTATTTTTTTAACTAGAAAAATCGCTTTGCTCAGTAGGCCTATATTCCGTCAAAAATTATGTGCGTTGCAGTTTGAATGAACTTTAAAAAAATGTTTTAAAAAAAATTAAATTAGTTTCAAATTGAATTAAAATCCTACTGGCAGACAGGTGACCACTTTTGATGTAAACGTTGATGAGACATGAGACAAGTTACTGGTGTTCCTGCAGGGCCTGCACATGAGTTGAATAGTTTGAGTTTTACTTTGAAGTTCATTGGCCATTTGAAAGATTGTTCATTCTGATCATTACAGAACTTTATGCCCTCAAATGAGATGTTCATTCATTCATTTATGTTCACTTTTACATTGTTGCATGTACTTGAAGTACTACACGTGGAGACAATCCGGTGTCCATTTGTTTATGCTATGTGTATGTGCACAGAAAGAAATAATTCCCAATCCATCACCTTTTGTAAAACTCGGACTTTTCATTGTTCCAGTTTGCATGCAAGTTAATTACTGGTCAATTTAATGGTAGAGATATTTTTTATTTTGGCCCAATAATGTAACACACAGAATTTACCCTTTTCCACAGCATTCCTAATGTAGCGTAGACTTTTGTTAAACAGATCTCATGTGCATGTCTCAACACACTGGTCTTGACTGTAACAACTAAAGACTTTTGTTAAACAGATCTCATGTGCATGTCTCAACACACTGGTCTTGACTGTAACAACTAAAGCGGCTTATAAAGAAGCACTCTGATTTTTATTGTCTTTAATAGACAGCTTTGGTAAGAACTAAACCCAGTAAAATGTGTGGTAATGCATTTGGCATCAGTAGCAAGTGTTTGTAATATCATTCACAAGTAATGCCCTCCCACAGCCTCCTAAACAATGTTACATTATAGAAAACAGCAAAGCAGTCATCACTGAGAGGTGATTGGGGACTTTGCTCACAGAACCCTCTTTCCTTCATGAACTTCATGTGTTTTATGTTTAATCCAGTTTGCCCTGTGGCAACTGTCCAGTGATGTCATGTTTTAAGATGGACCAGGTTACTCTTCTATCAACATATTTAAAAAAAAAAAAATCAATAATGACAGATTACAAAATGGACTGGTCCACCTGAGAAGGAAGATTTAAAATAGGTTGTTTTTTTTTGTTTTTTTACATAATCATGTCTCCTTTGTAATGAGTTTGAGATAAATGTCAAGAGCACCCAAACACTTCATGATCACCATACTTAAAACTTCATCCTCTGTTATTCCTGCTATCTAAGATCTAAGAAGAAGATGAAGAATAGCATTTTAATCTCAGATAGAACAAAGTCAATGAACACTTTCAGACACAGACCGCCAGATAAAGAATGTGATAGATACTTTTCCATGTTGGAAATGAATTTTATAACAATAATTTACAGCCCATTCTCATGTATATTAACTTTGGTTATTTTTTTTTTTTTGGGGGGGGTTACATTAAATGTTTCAATTGTATTTGATAATAAACATTTGATAAAAATGAAATCAAAATCTCCAATCCAACTTGTCCATGCAGGGACTAGGTCTGTGTTTCTACATATTTTTGTTTGGCTTGTGGCCCTCTATAACTTGTAACATTTTATGTAGCTCCCCCTTTCCTGCTATTATATTTTTAAAACTCACTTTTTATATTGGCCTACATTGGCCTACATTCATAAAGACAATTTTTTAATCAAAGTTTTAACGGCACCAAAAAGTATATGGTCCTCATTGAGAAACACATGGCTAGGAACATGATTTGTGTTGCAGTTTAGTTACACACTTCTCAGAAACAAATCTGTGCTGCTTGTTCTATGATTTCTAATTTCTACTAAAATGTTTGTATTTGTTGTACTAGTTATAGGATAGGTGAAAGGTAATCAGCTGTTATGAGGCAGAGATGTTTGTCTAAATCTGCTGTTAGGTTTCAGTTTCCCCATGAAAAGGACTTTTGAAAAGAAATGAAATATTTGTATCTCTTTTTCCAGATAACAATAACATGTTATATATATGCAAAGATACATATCCGGGGAAAATGTGTAATTGAAAAGAATGATTGTTTTGATGAAATCATATTCAAGGACAAAAATTTATTTTATTATTTGTTACTGTTGTTAATGTAACTTTCTGACTAGCTTGGTAATCATTGTATGTTTGAAGGGGGGGGGGGCTGAAGTATGGGATACGCTAATTTTAGATTTAGGTACCGGTAAATAAAATATCAGATAATGTTTAAATTACATATATATATATTGTTACAACATAGTATAGTAGTAGTAGTATAGCATATGTGTAGAACTATTTTTATCCACCACCAGTTCTCTCCCCTTCATATGGCCTTGATAGTAACGTAACCTAGTAAATGTGCTATGTCACTCTTCCCTTGCCCACCCCTTTCTTGGCTGGGAAAATGTTGTTTACTTTCAAATGCATTCCATTTATTCTAAAGAATGCGATTACTTGACGAAATTTCTAGAATTTTTTACTAGAACGTTCTGATTTGGTTCCTATATATAGGCTGCCTGATTTCTTGGCAGATTGAGTGAGATAGATCGAGAGAGCGAGCGAGAGAGAGAAAGAGAGATTTACTATACAAATATAATTGCTACATTATTGTGTTTGTAAATAAATAAGTGTATTTTGAGGACTTTTACCGGTGTGTTTTTTCACTTGCTTTAAGTTGATATAGTTTCTAATTTTGTACTCAAATTTTTATCTTTATATAGCTTTGGTTTATTTTATTTTAGCATTACTAGCTTTGGTATAATTTTTGTATGTATCACTAGCTTTGGTATCATTTTTTAAATTATCGCCAGCTTTGATATAGTTTTTTTAGTATCCCTAGTGTTGGTATTGCTTTTTAGTATCGCTAACTTAAGAATCGTGTTTTAGTATCACTAGCTTTAGTATCGTTTTATTATGGTATCGCTAGCTTTGGTATCGTTTTTTAGTATCACTAGCTTAAGTATCGTTTTTTAGTACCACTAGCTTTAGTATCGTTTTCTTTGCATACCGGTACCATTTTTCTCAGTCCTTTGTTACATATTGTTTGTTCTACGCCTACGAGCCCAATATTAACAAAGAAAACATCTTCAGAACCACAGCAGTACGTAACATTAGTAACAACATATATAATTTATATATTATCTGAGATTTTAATATGCATACCGATATATATAATAATACAGAGCATGAGATTCTTGTAGAAACAAGGCATTCCCTTACTAACAGAATGTAGTGATCAGGTGATTGCTAGTGTAAAATTTTTCTTTTAAAGTACCCTGTACGCTTAGTAGAAAGGTGACATGAGACTAGCTTGAAGTTCTCAGAAAAAACACATCCTTCGAGTCCTTCATGTTCTCCACCGTCTGGACCGTCGACCTCGTCGACATGGTGTAGCCGTACCCGGTCATGATCTCGGCGATGAGGTCCCGGTTCGCGCCACTGTGGCCCACCCATTCCATCTGGATGATCTTCACGGACACGGCCCTGAAGAAGACGCTGGCGCACGAGAAGACCCGCGGGTGGCCGTACCTGGCGTCCATCCTGAGGTACACGGCGATGCCGGCGACCAGCGGGGTCAGGTCGTCCAAACAAATGGAATGGACGAGAAACTTATCCATCCCTCTTTTCGTGACCCTGAAACAGGCGTATCTTGTTATTAGATGAACGGAAAGTTTTGTACCCCCCCCTCCTCTCCCCCCCCCCC